GCTGCTCTCCTTATGTTCAAGTTATTCTTTATTATTTTGCATCTGTTCCTTGAAATGAGGAACTTGGCCAAAGAATAGGGGAAGAGAATGCTTATTGGATGGCTCCTTTAAAAAAAGAAAAGAAGTTTCCTCTGTTTGCCCCATTGACATCATGTGGTAAGAATAGCACAACATAAATCTTACATATGTTTATGCAAACATAGGCAATTGCAGACAAATATGTGCTGTTTTCTGCTTTTTAAAATTCCATTATGATTGTAACTATTAATAATCCAGTTGTGCCTCCTACTTCCTTCAGTACAATCTCATTTTCTAGTTCAGCTTGAAAATAAGAGGTGAGATGTTGTCATTTTCAGACATGGAAACCAGTGGCATTGTATATTGTACTTATCGAGGCTTTCCCAAGAAACCTAACAGGAAGGAAAGGGGCATGTCAGTAGCAAGGGGGAAAGGAAAGTTTGCTTGTTTTAGCAAAACCTAAAAATAAGTTTTTCAGATATATATGCAATTATTTAAGAGTGACACGACCCCATTGGATCAGAGAACCTGCTGAATACCTTGCTGTTTATGTACTTAATTATCTGTAGGACAGAGAGGGATTTTGCAGGCTGCTAAAATGAATGAGCTTTACTCTGCCTCTTCACACTACCATGTTTAACCAGTTGCAGGACAGTTTGATAGTAGTCACTCTTTGCTCTGACCCAAGGGCTCCTGGGAACTGTAGTTCTCAGTGCTCAGTGGCAGTAATTCTGAACTAAGTGCTTGGCGGGGCTGGCATCCAAAGGAGGCCTAGTTGGCACCCGCTGAGGGGCTGCACTACAGCAGGGGCCCACTGAATAGAGCCACTCAGAGCTGCCCCTCCTCTTCACCACTATGGCTTGCTCATTTCTCTAGTTTGTGCAATGGCTGTGGAGTGAGGATGAGGAGGAAGAAGACGAGCAGATTCATTCACTGGCTCTGAACTTGTCAGGAAAGCTCATGGTAGAAATGACAAGGAAAAGGAGGAGGAGTGTGAACAGCTGGGGATAATGGTGGTGAGAAAGCTGTCCTGAGATCTTGTATAATAGGATGGCATACAAAAAAGCTTTTAATAAATTAATTCACGGCAGGAGTGTCAGGCCAAGGGCTTTTAAAGAATCGGTGCAGCCACACACCTTACTGCTAGCGTGCCTTGAGTTATTTCTCAAGGAAGGAAGGAAGGAAGGAAGGAAGGAAGGAAGGAAGGAAGGAAGGAAGGAAGGAAGGCAGGCTGGCTGGCTCAGTGGTTATGGCCTACAAAGCTCTGTATGGCTTGGATCCAGGCTCTTTGGCAGACCATGTTCTGCCCTATGAGTTTGTCCATACTCTTAAGAGCTTCAGAGGGGGTCTCCTCTTTGTCCTACCTCCTCTGTAGGCACGGTTGGTGGGAACTTAGGAGAAGGCCTTCTCGGTGATTGCTCCAATGCACTGGAACTCCCTTCCCAGGGAAGCTGGTCTGGTGCCTTCCCTGTTGTTATTTCAGTGGCAGGCAAAAACAAATCTATTCCGGTAGGCCTTTGGAAATAGCCTGGGCCTGTGAGATTGCACTGGACTATCTCTGCTGTCTATGCTGCTTTTCCTGCTTCTAAAAATTTGATAGTTTATATAATTTTACTATTTTAGCTAATGTAGTTCTATGCTAACTTTTTAGTCTTTGTATTAATGTTTGAATTGCATAAGCTTTTGAGTTCCTTCACTGGGAGTGGGTGAGATATAAACCGAAGGACAACTCACCCCCCACAAAGGCTACTTCTGCACACATCATTCAGCTCGTGCTTCCTGCTTTTATCCGTCTCCCCCTTCACTGCGCTGGGTGGCTCTGCGCCTTTCTCCACACTGGGTAGACAAGAGCATTCGGGAGAATTCAATCACTCCTGCTAAAGAGCTGTAGCAGAACTGCCTGTCCTCCGAGGGGTTTGTCTTTTGGGATAATGCATGAGTCACTGCTGAATTTCCTCCTTTCACTTAGGGGACATACACAGAGTGACCATGCAAAAACACCCGGGTTTGATGGTGGGTAATTCTCATTTTTGCTCACTTTAAAAAGCAACACTTTTATTTGTGAATAAGGATGAAGTGTCCCTTCAGTTTTAGCTGAGGAGGAAGAAGTGTGTGATTCAGTCATCAGAAATATGGGAATCACTGTCTTAGGGATATGTATCATCCTCGCATATTACAATTCCCGGAAACTTTGGGGAGTGAGCCAAAGCAGTTAAGCTGCGGAAACTTGCTTATTTGTAGCACAGGGCTGAGATCTCCACCAGAATTCTCTGTATCTGAACAAAACTACATTTCCCATGGCATGATGGGGGAAGCCATGATAATTAAACCAGCTCCTATTCTTTCATTTACTCATTCCCACTAACTCAAAAAAAAAAAAAAAAAAAAAAACCCTTTAATCTTCATCTGACTCATTCTCAAAGTGCTTTTTCTCCACCTGCCCTGCTCATGCCATCCTTTGTTGTTCAATTTTTGCAGTTCACACTATGATAGTCTAACAATGATGCCAAATCTTTCTTAACCCCCTCTCTGTAAAAGGATGCTGAAACACACATTCCTAGCTTACTCTTTTTGCCTTTATACACGCAAGAGTTGTTGGACAATTGGGCACAAAAGTGGCACTGTGTTGTTTGGACTGAAATCTTTTGTTAATAAAATTCCTAAGCAAACCTTCTGCTGGCTTCTGAATCTTCTTTAACAAAGGTAATTCTCCAGCTACACGATAGCTCAACTGCGGCCAGGATCAATTAATCACTTCAGTCTTTCTTTAACATCTGTGTGCAGGAAGCTTATGAATATTAAAAAGCTCATCTCCATGGAACCCGGAGATGCAATGACACCATTTTGTCCCTGTAACAGAGATGGGGCAAAATGAATTGCACAGATTTGAGTTCCAGTGTTTGTTCATTTTTTCCTAACTGCTTTGATTTTTAAATGTATTGACTAGTATTCATACATGTTTTAACTACCAATATTCATTATATGTCTTTTTTTGGCATAAGGGCCAAACAGTTGCTAGTTCAGAGCAAACCTGTAACAGAGTCCCAAATCCTACTTGGCCATGCATCTCACTGCTGGTCCTTCTTTACAGTTTTCTACTTGGAGGGTCATCTGAGAAGAACCCTCTAGTCAAAGTGTGTCCAGTTCTGGGCACCAAGATTTAAGAAAGATGCAGAGAAACTAGAAAGGGTCCAGCGGAGGGCAACAAAAATGATCCCGGGTTTGGAAAAACTGCCCTATGAAGAGAGACTGAGAGAACTGGGCATGTTCAGCCCTGAAAAGAGAAGACTGAGGGGAGACAAGCTATCCCTCTAAAAGTACCTCAAAGGCTGTCAGAAAGAGGAAGGTCAAGATCTCTTGTTACTGATACCAGAATGCAGAGCATAGAATAATCAATTCAATCTGCAACAACCCAGATTCAGGCTGGACATCAGGAAAAGCTTCCTCACTGTCAGAGCAATATGACAGTGGAACCAGCTGCCTAGAGAGGTGGTGGGCTCTCCTACACGACACATTCAAAAAGAAACGGGACAGCCATCTGAGTGGGATGGTGTAACATGATGTCCTGCAACAGCAGGGGGTTGGACCTGATGGCCTTCACGGCCCCTTCCAACTCTACTATTCTGTGATTCTAAGGTATCTTCAGTGTGGACAGTTGTACAGTGCAAGTTGGGTTTAAAAATAAAGAAGTTGGGCTTAAAAATAAAGAACCCTAAGAAGGCCGAGACATGCTGCAGTTTTGTTTAAATTCTAGTCATCATATTGGTGGATATTCACATGCTGTGTGATGTCAGTGGAACCTGGCAGTACATCCAGTCACTGCAGCTTGTGCACACCTGGAACTTTGCTGTATGGATGCCCCATGGCCAATCACATGAAGGCAGTGGAGGGTTGTGTTGTGACCTGCTGCAGGGTTACAAGTGGGTGTAAATTTCTCAAGAGCCAGAGGGTTTAGTAGTTGGAGATCTGGGTGTCTGTCCCCACTCAGCCATGATGTTCATAAGAACAGAAGAAAAGCCATGCTGGATCAGACCACACGTTTTAGAAATGGTGTTTCCAGCAAGAACAGCTCTTATTAAATCCAAATCTTCCAAGTAATACTTCTAACTCTGTCATGGAACTTCCATGATAAGGGTAATAAGATTGCCCAGGATAAAGAGATGTCAGGTGCTGTAGACGTCATGCAGCTTTTTCTTTGGTTTTGCCTTTTCATCCCTTTCGTTGTTATTTTCTCAGACCCGTGGCTCTGCTTCCCTCAATATGCCTGAATTGGAACCGTTTTTGGTAGACTCTGTTGTTATTAATTTTGGATTTTCACTGGGTTTCATTGCACAAGCAACTTCCACTCATGCAATAGGATTCTCCCTTCCTGTTTTTCCCTCAAACCTCCCCATCCGCAGTCTAATCCTAACCCTGAGGGGCCCCTAGGCTTCCAGAACAGGCTATGGAGGGGCAGTGTCTGCCAGGAGAATTCAGCACCAGTGGACAGATACACCTGCACACCATTCAAAGGTATAATAGTATGATGGGTTTTTAAAAATGTGCTTTTAATGCAAATCACCTTAAGAACATTTTGGTATATGCAATCTGTAATGCAGGATCTTGGTTATAGTATGGGAATTAAACCCAGGAGCCTGCAGATCAAATCCTCACAGTCAGTGTCTCAGCCCAAATCTTTATTACATTAAATAAATCATCCATTCATTAAGTCAGCACAAACACTATTGGTGCCTTGCACAATACAAAACATGTTACACATAACAGCAGTAAATGAATCACATCATCTGCCAAAATCCATCCACTCTGGGACCAGGGCTATTTCCAATTCTAAAATAAAATAAAATCAGACCTCCTTGCAATTGTTCTGATGGTGGTTTCTTACGTTTAGAAACTCCTGATTGCCTCAGCGCTCCACCTGCAATAGTGTTGCCTTAATCTGTGGCATGAGTGACCGTGTATTAATTGTTTTTGTCTCCTCACAGATGCTTTCAAAGAAAATCCAAGCTGACTGAGAGCTAAAGCCACCGCTTCTGAATTCTGGGCACTGGGGAAAAGGCAGACCCCTGATTTACACCCCCCCGCCCCGAAACAGTCGTTGCTAAGAAATCCTTGGAGAACAGCTCTTTTGACGGAATCGCTAGATGTGGCTTTTGAGGGCCGTGGCGGGCGATGGCTGGAGCAGGGGAGCGCGGGCCACGTGACGCGGCCGATTAACAAGTGGGCTTTGTCATGTGTCGCTACCAGGACACCTGCGGCGGCTGCAGCCTGCTCCTCACAATAGGGGCACTTTGTTAGCAGCCTCGCCTCCAAAAGATGGAGCAAATGAGTGTAAAGAGGGGAAGGTTTTGCCGATTAGTCATTGAATCTCTCCCAAATAAAGCTGTGTCATGTAAGAACTCCCTCCTTAAGTCATGTGTTAACTTGTAAGTGCCTGCAGCACTGGATCATCCGCAGATGAGCCCTTCTGGGAGACGGTTCCTTTTTGAAAGGAACGGGCTATTTTGTAAATCTCAATTATTTTAATTTGCTTCAGACAGCAGTCCAGATCACAGCTGGCAAATAGCTTTTGTGCAGAATGGCATGGAACGAGTGCTTTGAATAATATGTCTTCAAAAATCAATGTACAATGCTGCTTTTGTCTAGCTTTCAATGACAAAAATAACTTTATTTTTAAGGCACCATCCTGTGCAGAAAAGAGGCCTACAACTCCCAACATTCCCTAGCCAGCCATTTTCTGTCTTAATTTGGATAGGATTGTGCCTTTAGAAGCCAAGATTAAATGTCTTTTAACAGCACATACACAGTATTTTATGTATATAAAGATAAGCTACAACCTTACACCTTTTGTGAAGTAAGTCCTATTGAACTCAGTAGGACTTATGTCCAAATAAATACTGGCCTATTTTACAGCTGGGTTCTGCCTGGGGTGAGAACCTGACTTGAGTAGCTGATTCTTTTTCCACTGTGGTTTGGCTTGGCATAAAACAAATTCCTCCCCTCTCTTTTGAAGAATAGGAACGTTGAATAGCAGGAGTGTTGAAGTCTCTAGCCCAGGTTCATATTTTTAAAATAATGTATTCTGATCAAACATGGCTTGCAAGTTCTTTGTCTCAGTAACAGATGATATTCCCTTTTTGAGACTTTGATTATGCTCTTCTGGTGCATTAACTTTAGTAACTTAATTCAAAAAACCAAAGTTTGATGTTTTAGTACAATGTTCTCTATTTGGTCTTCTGATGTACGCATTTTCCTTGCCTATCATCGGACAAAACATCCTCCTGAACTTTTCTTTGCGTAAGAACAAGTGACTACTAACAAAGATCCATAAGACTAAAGAAGAGATGCAGAAAAACCCTTTAAATAACTTGTACATGCCAAATGAAGTAAAATTCTACAAGACTACACTACATCCTATGAAAAAAATCAAAAACATAATTTGCTGTTAGTTTTCTTGCTAAATTAAGAGAACTGACACTACAAGATCCAATTCTGAGGTCACTGGTGAGCTGCTTGTTGTACTTTCGTGTTTAGTTCAAACATTCTACAGTGATAAGCTGGGCAGAGTGAGGGTTATATGTAGGTTATATGTATAGTTTTTCAAATTGCTTGAGTCCATTAGCAAAGGAATGGCTGATAAGAATGGCACTGTTTATGAATAACAATTGACATGGAGTTGTGTTGAAGACACTTGACCAAAAGAAACAACATCAACATTTTAAGGGTACAGGTGTATGCAAGTTTGGTTAGAAAAGAGTCTATCACTCCAAAGCACACAGAAAAATAGTGGTTTTGCAGATTTTTTTCCCACACTCTGTCATCATTACAAGGGACAAGTATGTGTAACTACCTGGGTGGTGCTGATTATTTCAACAAAGATCTCTTTATTCAAACCAGATTACAGCTACTTAGCCAGCAATGCAAGTTCAGGTTCCCAAATAAGCAACTTCTCAGTCTCTTTGCTGGTTTAGCTTCACTTGCAGGATCCTAATTGTTTCCACTGCAAAAAGCTCACTATTTTCTGTTCAACAGCTGATCAGTGTTTTTCAGAAAGAGATTGAAATACTCACCTGCAGGTAAAATCAGACCTTCTGCATGAAGATTTTGTGGCCCTGAATTAACCTAAGTCAGTCAGTCAGTTCTCGTTCTCTCTCTCTCTCTCTCTCTCTCTCTCTCTCTCTCTCTCTCACACACACACACACACACACACACACACACACACACACACACCTGAGTAGGGGTTGATCATATCTAGATGCTGAATATGAGGGAAAAAATTGTAAAATGAGAATGCTGGCAGGAGATCAGATTTTTCTGAACCTGATAAAGTTAGGTGAGCATGTCTCATTCCCACAGACAAAGCAAAATGGAACGGAAAGGACTTATACAGAATACAGAATTCGATAATCATTTATGGAGGGTACCCAAGAGTGTAAGGAAACACATGATAGATCACCCCAAAGGGCCTCTACTCCATCATTTTCCCTTTCTATCCATTCACCTCTGGAAGCTCAAGGAGGGCAAGGAGGCTGTGTCTACCCCGTTGTCCCATTGATTCTCAGAGCTCCTTCTGGGCACCGAGGTTTCATTTGCTCCCAAGGCTATTAACTGTAGATAGAGTTACCCTCCATTAATTTACCTAATCCTTTTAAAAAGCCCTCTCAGCTGGTGGCCACCCCATCTCACAGTAGTTAATTCTCTAAGTTAATTATGCATTGCGTTTGGCATAGAATACTATAACTGGTCTTTATTAGGTGCTGTAAATATTGCCATGAAATAGGGCAGCCCTGGTATTCATATTTTTCACCTCTGGGGAACCTTTCCACGTTGCCTTTTCCGCCTCTGCTACCATGTGTGTTGCAAAGAGGATCCTGAGCATCTCCTAAGATAAACATGCAGAGTTCTGACTAGGCCAGTTGGACTCGGGGGTAAGTTCAGAGTATAGCCCTCATCAGAGCTATTAGCGCTGCACATGGAAGTGGAAGATTTGTAGTGAAAAGGGAAGCTTGTCTGTTCTTGCTTCCCTTGAAACAGGAGTGTGGGACCTTCCTCAGCCCCACAGCCGAATCCCACTCCGGAAAGACTCTTGTGCATTCCAGGAGTGGGTGGGGCCTAACTAAAAAGGGGCAGGGCCAAAAATCAGCCTATTTGTTCTTAGAACTCTTATGAACAATAACTGAGCCTCAAGGGATGTATTTCCATCTTACAGAATGGGGGAAATAAGTGCACAAAAGCTGGATAACTACCTAAGGGTTGCTGATCAGGGGCTGGGATATGACCATCTGGGGAACTACTGAACTGGGATCCTAGATAGGCCAGATTAGTTTTGGTAGTAGAGGAACTCTGTTAAAGCTATTAAGGATGTCCAAGATTGCCAAAGCAAAGTTTGAGATCCTAACCCCTTCCTCCATGAGAAAGAAATGCCAGGATTTCCAAAGAATGCTTGACTGATTGCCTCCAGCTCAATTCCCAGTTTTCCCTTTTCCTTCTACCATACCTTCCCTCTTGCTCCCCCCACCCGCCCCCGGTCCCACTCAGAACAAACTTATAAAAACTCAAAATAATTAGCACAACACCTGTTCTCAGTGCAAATATGTAAATTAGTTCTATATCAATATAAAGTTGGTAACTAGTCAGTATGTGTGACAGCTTCCCACTGTCACATTTCCTCTCTTCACACATTTGCTATCCTGACACACTGTGAAGGGTAGGATACAAAAATTTTAAATAAACCAAGTCACAGACCTTTCTTGCAAAATGTTCTTTATTGACCAAAGCATCTTCCAGAAGCAAAGCACCCAAAATCCATCTTAGCACATGCACAGAGCAGTTTGTTGAACCCAATCTTGTATTCACATCTAGGACTCCTCCTTAAGAATATGTTGGGGTCCCATCCTTTTGAGAGGGGCCTTTTGGAAACCAGCACGCCTCCTTTCTAGACATATATCTGCTCATTGGGCTATGCTTCTCTGCCAACATTGCCTCATGTGGTCAAGAGCTGTCCCCACCTCTTCTGTCCCAGAGAAGCTCCCTGTTCCAAGCCCCCTCCCAATAACTGGACCTCTTGGTTGTTCTCCCCTGCACACTTGGAGAGAGAGCCTGGCCTTAAGATAAGCGTCTCAGCTCAACATCTGGAATTGGCCCACATTCCCCTCCTGCTCTTCCTCCTCCTCCTCCTCCTCCTCCAAATTCCAATCAGCAGGCCTTGAGAATGCATGCCAAGAACAACTGCCTTTCTCACTCCCAACACCCACCAGTACTCACTTAAGCCCAGCTATGAGTCCCAGACTGCTAGCAGATCCCACTGCTGGAATGATTACTGTGGGAACAAGAAGAATTTTAGTCCTGGGTCATCTCATGCATGCCGCTCTTCTCCTCCTTTAATGAGGCATAAATTGCTCCTGGCTTCTTCCCCTTCTGTATGCAGCCTACAGAACTTGGTATATAGACACATGTATGCTGGGATATTGAGAAAAGCTTGTCAAAGGGAAAGCCTTCACTGCATCTCTTCCCCCATCCTGTAACTTTGGCACAAGTCAAAGATCTATTTATTTTCTATACTGTGCTTGGACAAATGATTTTTCTAGAGTGACTGACAACTTAATACAGAAATCCAATCACACATCAATCCAAATCAGAAACAGATAATATGATAGTAGGAGCCTTGTTCTAGTGGACTCAGGAGCTAAACATGTTTTTACGGTTCATTTAAATGCAGCAGTTACATAGAGCTGGTGCCCCTTTTGAGAGTGCCTTCCACATTTGAAAGCCCCCCCCCCCCAAACAGCCTCAAAAGATGTTGGCACCAAAAGAACAGATGCATTTCCCAATTTTAAATCAGGAGGGACGTTGGGTGCATCCAAGAGAAGTTGTTTCCTCAATTTTCCAGAGCTCAGGCCATTAAAATTAACAAAACATTGAATTTACCCGGTGAAGCAGTAAAGCTTTTTAAAAGCAGTGGTAATATCCTAGACAATTGGGTATTGTCTCTCTAGGATATTGTCTACTGTCTGTTTGGCAGGCCTTGGACAAAGCCATGCTATTGCATTCTGAACCAATGCAAGTATCGGATATGTGCTCAAAGCTACTTCCAGGGGTAGAACCCTACAGTTATCAAAGAGTGACTAAAGAACACAACCAGCAGAGATTTTTATTCTCTAGAACAAGGGTTCCCAAACTTTTTCGTTCATGGAACCTTTCTAAAGACATTTTTTCCCCTGTGGAACCCTAACACCATCCCTGATTTTATACTAAGCACTGTGAACCCGCAACGTTCTTCCTTCTCTCATCTGCTCCTGTTGCCTGAGTGCTTTTCATGATTTAGTAGGTTTGGAAATAAAGAGAAAACATTTTAGATATAACAAATGAATAAAGCGATTATATGCGAATATACCAAATGG